CCACCCTGGCCATTTTCCTCCTTGATTCTCCTTGTTGGGCAGCTGGGAAGCAGAGCTACTTGCCACTTATAGACAGTAGGGGCTGCTTCTGACCTTGCCAGCTTGTATAGTTTGGGAGGGAGTGGAAACTGGCAGAACAACAATGGTAGCAGAGTATGAAAACAGCTGCAAGTCAAGCGTGGCAGTGCTACTCCAGGACTTTCATGTTCAGTGGACCAAATTCTGATCTCACCGTGTTGTAAATCTGGAGTGCATCCATTGAAGTCAAAGGAGTTAGTTACATCAGCTTGTAACACTGTGAGATCAGAAGCAGGCCCAGCCAGTTTGGCTGCATGTAGTGCATTGGGGGTTTAAATGAGCATTGGGCATGTGGAATTGATGTGAATTTAGAGAAGAAATAATTGAGAGTGTATAAATTGATTAGTGTATTAATTGATTAGTCTCGTTAGAGTTGGTATGGCAACCCCCATTTTTTCATGTTCTCTGTGTGTATATATATATCTTCCTACTGTATTTTGCACTGCATGCATCTGATGAAGGGGGTTTTAGCCCACGAAAGCTTATGCCCAAATCAATTTGTTAGTCTCTAAGGTGCCACAAGTACTCCTAGTTCTAAAAGCTGGGTGTTAGCTGTCAGGGGTGTGTGAGGTTTTCGGAATCAGGCCCAATACATACAGGTTTGCTATTAACACAGGACTCAAGGAATTTTGAAACTGAAAAAAGAAGGAATTTTCGTTAACTGCAGCAGGCTGTTTACATCAAACTTTTGTTTTTCAGCTCACGGCAAGTTTGTTACAGGGACGAGAATTAGGGCATTACCTCAGTATTCACATGTCAAATGCAGCCTCTCTAGATGAACCATGTGGAGGTTTGGGTTGGCACAAGTTCCTCAAAATAAAATATTAGCCGGGCGGCTTCATGACTATGAGGTTAAACTCACAGACATTAAAACACTTTATTAAAGGGGAATGTTTTTATCTGTACCAAGGTGGATTGGATGAACATAGGTAGGTGGAAGATCAAAGCAGCCTGAAAAAGCCCTGAAGTATAGGCACAGCCCGTGTTATATACTATGCTCTAATCCTCACGTGTGCTCAGATAGGTAATTGTTTTTTATTGTGTTTGGCACTTGCCCACCAATTCAATACCAATTATTTTTGACATGAGGTGAAATTCTCAGCTGTGTCTGCTGCAATAAAAGAAGGACAAGCTATGAACAAGTTGGGCAAGCGCTCAAGCTGACATGCAGAGGGCCAAATAGTTCTCTCAGTTACACTGCTGTCAACCTGGAGTAAATTCACTAACTTCAGTGGAGTTCCTCGGGATTTACAATGGGCATTGCAGCTGTGCTGCTGTAGCCCTGGTGTAGACACCTACTATCATGACAGAAGGGGTTTTTACATCACTGTAGTAAATCCACCTCCTTGAGAGGCGGTAGGTAGATTGATGGAAGCATTCTTCTGCTGACCTAGTAGCATCTACAGTGAGGGTTAGATTGACCTATCTAGGTTGCACAGGGCGTGAAATTTTTCACAGCCTGAGCAATGTAGCAAGGTCAACTTAAGTTCTAGGTCGAGACCAGGCCGGAGAGCAGAATTTGGCCCAGGGTGCTTAGCCCTACATCATGGCTTATAAATTAATGCTACCCGCGGTGGAGAAGTAATTACGTCATTCACTGTGTCCTGTTTACTCTTCGTTGGTAACCACCATTCTTTTATTAAAGGGTAACTAGCAACAATAGCTGATTACATTTCCTCATCAAAAGAGCTGCATCTTTTTCAAGTGGGATGGGGATAGGTTGGAGGCTGCTCAAGTATTATGGTGTAGAGAGCTATACAGGGCCGGCTCCACCATTTTTGCCGCCCCAAGCAAAAATAAATAAATAAATAAATAAATAACGTCTCGGACTGCCACCGCCTGTACTGATGAAGCAGGAAAACAAACAAACAAACAAACAAAAAAACGACCGGCCTATGATGCCCCAAGTATGGATGGAATGCCACCCCTTAGCATGTGCCGTCCCAGGCATGTGCTTGCTCCGCTGGTGCCTGGAGCTGGCCCTGGAGCTATACAAGCCAACCAAGAGAGCTGCAAAATCTATCTACCTTAGATACTTATACAACCCCCTCCCCCCCAATTCCTGTAGTACCTGAGCACCTCACAGTTTTTAGTGCATTTATCCTCACATTAACCCTGTGAAATGCCAGCCCTGTGAAATGCCATTATTCCCAGTTGAGGGATGGGGAACTGTTAGATGGAGCCACTGAGTTGGGAGATGTGAAACAATGGAAAAGGAATGGATTTTCAGAACTCCAATGGGCGGATTTATGGGGACAATTACCACATTACTCCTGACGGGGAAAATTATGGCAAGATGTTTACTTTCACACAGAAATGTACTTGCTACTTCATTCTTAGGGCCATCCCTGTATAAAATGATACATACCCCATCCAGCACTCTGCCCAGGGTGACTAGGACCCATTCCTGTGTACCCATGACACTGTCCCCATCAGCTGCTGCTGCTTTCTCCATACAGCTGATTGTGAGGCTCTCTGATTTCTGGTGCTCCATCCTAAAAGAACCAAGAAGCCAGGAGATAAAGCTGGCAACAAGGGAGGAATGCTAAGGAATTCATTCTCTGCCATTGCTAGCTGGTGCTAAAGTTAGATGAAATAATCGATGGGCATTGAGTCTGAAACTCTGGTTGGAAGGTTGGGTGTGCAAATGTGGTGAGTGGCCCTGGAAAATCCTGGGCTATATTCACAACTGCATAGGTCTAAATATGCTACTGCTGTGGTGAAATACTAATAATAAACTAACACTGTACAAAGTATTTAACAAAATTATACCTGGCAATTAAGATCTTGTAACTTCTGCACATTTCTATTGCTTATAAAATTATTTTCTTCTGAATTCTAGTCAGTTGCAAGCCTCTTATCAATTATACGTCTTATATAGTTTACATACAATGCTCATTTAGGCCCCAGAAGGTCCTGTAGCACCTTTAAGACTAACAGATGTATTGGAGCATAAGCTTTCGTGGGTGAATTAAAGGTCTTAAAGGTGCCACAGGACCCTCTGTTGCTTTTTACAGATCCAGACTAACACGGCTACCCCTCTGATATTTAGGCCCCAGTTCAGCAAATTATTTAAGCACTTGCATAACTTTAAATGTGAGGAGTTCTATTGAATTCAATGGAATGACTCATGTGATTAAAGTTATACATGTGCTTATGTGCTTTGCTGGATCTGTGTCTTAAAGGAATACAAAGCTTTATCATGTGCTTTTGAGAGAGCATTACTTTAGCTTCACTTTCTATAATTAATCTTAACTCCAGCACCCGCTCCTTTTTCCCCTTATGCCTGTACCTGCTTCTGCAAAACCCTAAAAAATACAGTAAACTAATAAAAAAAATTAAGACAAACCTGTAATAAAATACATTTAATTATGTTCCTGCACAAGCTGCTTACCTTTCCCCTTGTTTTCTGGTATTTCTGCACAGCCCTACTCCACTTCATGGTCTGTAGTTGTTTCTGCTGATCGACTCACCTGGCTACCACTCTGTTCCCCTTAACTGTTCAGACTGTAAACTCCTGGAAACCAGACCCTCATCTTCTTACTTATCTGTCCAGTGCCATGCACATCAGTGGCCCTATACAGAGAAATAAACAAGCTGAGTGAAAGAAGAATTACGTAAAGACCCCCAAACTAATAATATAATAACCACCGGAAAACAAGCACCCCTAATAAAAATCATAATCAATAACTTAAGGTGTTTCTAATTTCAAATAACTGCATTAATTAGCAACTATTGTACTTCAGTTATAAATGTAGGGAGGAATCTATAGCAGCATTAAATGTACCTCTTTAAGTGAAAGCTAGAGCAATGGTACAGCTTTGCAGTACAATAGCGGTAACTATTTTATGTAACCAGTTAATTCTATCAGAATGCTATATATCAGTTTTAGTTTTTGAACAAAAACAGCACCCTCAAGAAGCATGCATAACATTCAAAAGCAAACACATGTTCCCATTGTTGCAACCTTTGTTCTCCATTCCCTCTCCTCCCCTCCCATTCTTTGTGGCCCTCACTCTTTGTTACATCTTAGCTTCTAGCCAGATCTTTAAACCCTTTCTTATGTGCTGAGTATTCACTCACACAAGCATTACCTTTGATTTCACTGTAGCTATGCATGTGAGCAAGGGTTTACAGGATCATGGGAGGGCCCTGATGCTGAGAAGGCCTATGCACATAATTAACTTTACACACGTGAGCAGTGACTTCAATGTGTACTATTGATGTGCATAAAATTGAGCACATGCCTAAATCCATATCCCTGGCCCTGCAAAGATTGATGTAATCTTTCAGCTGAGGAAATTAAAACAAACAAAATACTTTTGTTGGTAAAGTACCATGCACAACAATAGTGCTGTACACATCAATGAATAAATAAATAATTATAGAACTACACCAAAGAAGACAGATGGGGTTGACAATGATGGCGATGATAACAACTTTGGGGAAAAACATAGTCCTGTGTTGTTTAAAAGCCAGAGGGGCGCGTGCTATCTTAAGTTCACTTCCATCATAGACGACGAGTTCTGATTCCCAAAGGCATTTAGGTGCCCAACTTCCGCTGATTTCACTTAGTGACCCCTGTGTGCAATGAATACAGCCTCTGAAAGCAACATATCACAGAAACTGGCACAACTCTGACCCCCCGCCCGCAATAATGTAGCCACCTAGGTTTGACGCGGCCTGTAGGCGTCACTGTTACAAGTGAAAGTTGCCCTGACGCCGATGATGATAATAACACAGCCCCTCTGCCAGCTTCTTCCCCTAGCAAGAATTCCTCCAAGAGGGCTGGGGCTGCCTTCCAGCTGGGCTGCCCTCCCTGTGCATTGTGGGACTCGTAGTCCTCTGAGGCACGCGTTTGCTTGGCGCTGGGGGGAGGCGGGACTACACGTCCCACAAGGCCCGCCGGGCAGCTGGCTGGCCGTTCCTTTTGAATGATTTCACTGCGCTCTGCCTGCCCAGCTCGTTTCGCAGCCGCAGCCTGCAGGAGGAGGCAGGAATCATGGTGTAAGGGGCTGGCTGGGGCGGGGGTGCAGCCAGGGGCGAGAGCGAACCGAGCGCCCTGCCCGTTTCATGGCAGCCGGGGGAGCTGGCAGCGCAGCAGCGGGGCCAAGTTGTGCTCGCCGAGGGCGGCCCATGGCAGCCCAGCGGCTGCGGGGGTGTTAAGGGCGCTGCGTCCGTCCCCCTGCCCGGCTCGCCCCGCAGCCCCCCTCGCTGCGTTGCCCCGCCGGACGGGGACGGGGACGGGAGGCGCCGCTCCCGGCCGGCCGCGATGGCTCTGGCTATGGAGGAGGAGGAGTACGCCAAGCTGGTGATGGAGTCGGAGCCGGAGTGGCTGCGGAGCGAGCTCAAGCGGCTCTCCCAGGAGCTGGGCGAGACCACCCGGGAGAAGATCCAGGCGGCGGAGTACGGGCTGGCCGTGCTGGAGGAGAAGCAGCAGCTCAAGCAGCAGTACGAGGAGCTGGAGGCGGAGTACGAGACCATCCGCACGGAGATGGAGCAGCTGAAGGAGGTGAGCCGGGGGCCCGGGGCAGTGGCCGGCTGGGGGGCAGGGGGTGACCCGCCGGGACTGACTTCCCTGTGCCCGTCTGTTGGAGGGAGAGTGGGCAAGGCAGAGAGCGCGGGCTAGGGGCTGCGGCACATGAAGGGGGATCTGGAGACCCGGGGTGCCTCAGCCACTGTCTGACCTTGGGCAAGGCCCCCTGAACCTTTGGGGACCACGCTAATCTCTGGGGTAACTCCGCTGCAAAGGCCGGAGTTACTCCTGGGAGGAATTTGGCCCATCTGTAATGGGAGGCCGGTCAAATATCCTGGGGCTGCAGCAAGGACTAATTCACTGCTGCCTGCAAAGCCGCCTGCTCTCTGCAGTGGGGAGGTGGCACGGGAGCGCAGAGGATGCATTGCTACTGATGGATGTTCTGGGCAGGCATGTTTCTGTCTGGTCTGTGTCTGTGCGAGGCAGTAGCGATGTAATTCACCCTCCCCGGGAAGTCTGTCTTCAGCCCTCACTGGAAAGCAGCTGTTGGCTGCATCTTGGCTTCTTCCAGCTCAAATGAAGAGCATCGTCATCGTCTCCAATGCAGTGCAGTGTCACAGCTAGATCCGGCATCATCATGCACATCATTGCTGGCGTAATGCTATGCAGCCCTTTAAAGGGGCAGCTCAGCAATTCCTCTAAGACCCTGTGCCCTTCCAATGACATCTGCTGTGTCTTCGCTCAGCTGGGCGAGATGCACAGGAAAGAGGAGACTTGCGATTAATACGCTGGAGATCAAGTGCCAGTCTGTTACTGTTGTGGTCATTGCAGGCGGAAGGGAATAATGGAAGTCAGACCATAATTCTGTTGTTTGCTGTATAATGGCATACAGTTCAGAGCTCTCCAGATCGCATTTCTGATATAGAACCCAGTTCCCTGAATTTTAAGGGTGCAATTTAATATTGGGATCAAGTTTTTCATCTCTCTCTTTTGCCTTTCCTGTCCCTCCAAATATACACAGATTTTGAATTAAATTATTTAATCTGGTTGTTTATGAAAGGGATATATATGGGGGTGAACTATGAGTTCCTTAGTATTAAGTAGATTTCCCCACCTAAGTACAAAGGTTACTACTATTTTAAAATGGGAACATTGCTGGTAGAAAGTAATTATTAGGAGTAGGCCTTCTTATAAAAGGCTGAATTGCTGATATTTAAATACTGGCTACAGAGCATTCACAGGATCCTTTCTGTACAGAGCTGATGGTTCTCCGATAAGTTAGTCTTATAATAAATAATCTGTAAAGACCAGAAAATGAATGAATGGCTGCACAATATGTGTAGAAATGCCATACCCTGTGCCAAAGATCCATGTACTACTGAGCCATTCAACACACTTACGTTGGCCATCCATGTCAGAGCTTTGACATGACATGGAGCTTCCTGGAAGCAAAGCAGAAAGTACAGAAATCAAATAATTGGCCTTCTGAGCGAGTGTCAAAGTGTAAAGCAGCGGAGTGTCAGCATGAACTCAGAAATTCCTTGCTATTGCTGGCTTGTCAAACTCTTAGGACCAAATACAGGCCCCTAAGCTTTGAAGACCCTCACCTCACAAGGCAATGGGCTGGGGGAGGGGAGAGTTCCCACCTTTCCGGCTGCTAATTGTTCGGGTGGAGATCATTTTCTGCAATAGTAGATTGGCAGGATAGCTTCACTTTACATTGGGATTATAGGGTAATTACAAGGAGGACTTGCTTCTTCTCCCCTACCACTCAACTAGGGTGGGGGCAGCAGTGTATTTACCTTCTCCCCCCCATTCCTACCTCCTCCCCCCCCGACCCCCTGTCCAGCTCTGGCTAGGGTGACCAGACAGCAAATGAGAAAAATCAGGACGGGGGTGGGGGGTAATAGGCGCCTATATAAGAAAAAGCCCCAAAAATCGGGACTGTCCCTATAAAATCGGGACATCTGGTCACCCTAAGCTCTGCAGACAAAGGGTATGTCTACACTGGAAACTTCAAGGTGCTGCCCTGGGAACACTCCTGTGGCAGCGCTTTGAAGTGCGAGTGTGGTCACACGCGAGCGCTGGGAGAGAGCTCTCCCAGTGCTCCTGGTAATCCACCTCCATGAGCCTGTCTACACTAGCACTTTAAAGCCCAGAGCCAGTAAGTTAGAGCACTATAAAATGTAAGTGTAGACAAGCCCAAAGGCCCTAACAGTCCCTCAATCTTCAGCCTGCAGTGGAGAGAGAAAGCACTTTCCTTGAGCCCAGGAGTACTGCTTTCTCTTGCCATGTTATGGTATGGGACCCTGTAGTCAGGGCAGAGAGTCAGAGCAGCTGTGCTCTCCCGTTCCCCTGGCCTGCTCAGTACCACTGACATAATCATCCACAGGGTGGAAATGGCAGAGCGAAGAAGCTGGAGAGAACCAGAGAGCTGTGGAAGGGCAGACTTCCTGGAGAGGAGTAGGCTCAGATCACATGGGGAAGCAGAGGACCTGTGAGGGGCTAGAGATCTAAAAGGGGAAAAATAGGGCATGAGGGACCCGAACTCCTGTTGAGGGAGGACCAGATACCTAGGAAAGTGGGGATCAGAGCTTCTGCAGAAGGGACCTCTGAGCGGGCATCGGAGGCCTGGGGGTATGGAGCTCCTGGAGATGCAGAAGGAATGGGGTGGAAGGGCAGATGATGGAATGTAGGGCAATGAAGAAGAGCATACACACGCTCGTATATGTGGCCAGTCTATATTAGGTTATCTCTTCACTACCAGGAGTATAGTGACATTGCTGTAGTTCTGCTGGCATAACCCCATAGTGTGGACACAATTTACAGGGTTTTTCCCTTTACCATCCCACCAACAATAGCTAGGTCAATGGAAGCATTCTTCCTTTGACCTAGTTGTGTCTTACACTGGAGGCTAGCTGGGCATAGCTATGTCAATCCAGGGTGTGGATTTTTCACATCCCATGAGCAACGTATTTATGTTGACCTAAACTTGCACTGGTGTAACTGAGGGCTTTGTCTACACAAAAACTGCATCCACAATACCAAATTGGTTTTAATTCACACCTTTTGGGTATGCCTACACTGCAACTAGACACCTGAGCCCTCTGACTTGGTCTCAGGCTGTGGGGCTGATTCATTGCAGTGCCTGGAAGTCTACACAGCAATGAAACAGGCTGGCAGCCCGAGCCCCATGAGCATGGGCCCGCCGTGGGTTTTTCATTGTAGTGTAGACGTGCCCTTTGTTTCAGTGCAGGTCTGAGCGTGTTTAAAACAAACCCCAGCTTAAGCTTTCTCCCATCAATATGGTTGTCAATTCTCTCCATATCTCATTCTTCTCCACCCTTGACTCTTTTGCCCCTCTTTCCCATTGCCAGGTCTGTCCTTCCAATCCCCTGGCTCACCCTCAACCTTATTCCTGCTCTAATGCCGCAGAGCATCTCTGGCAAAAATCCCATGACCAGGCGGCTTATTTCCTTGTGCTCCCTTGTCAATCTGTCTGTATTCGTTTGTTATCTCTTATATTTAAGCCTGGTCTACACCTAAAACAGGTCAATGTGGCTACATCACTCAGGGCTGTGAAAAATTTCAAATCCTGAGTGCTGTAGTTAGGACAGCCTAGCCCGCCCATTTGGACGTGGCTAGGTTGATGGAAGGATTCCATCAGCTAGACTTTGCCATGTCAAAAACAGAGAAGCAGCCAATTTCCTTGGAGTCAGCCGGTCTTAGTGTCATAAGTATGAGAAAAGATTTTAGTCTCCTCAAAATAAGTTTTTAATCTCACGCTTACTATGAACACTGATTCTTTTCTCTCCCTATGTCCCAAATACACCTCTGTGACGCATGGCCAGAAAAGGTTAAACATCCTGCAACATAAATAACCCTCAAAAGATATGTGGGGAGATAATGTTTGTGTTTTTGTGTATTTAGATGTGTGCACACACACACACACACACACACACAAAATATATATATCGATCTATCGTTTGATAGATATGAATATGGTGGACAATGTAATCAACAGTCCTTGTCTATGATGTATTCTGATAGTTCAGAGATCAAAAGAACATCCTAGCATTTAAATGAATTGTAAACACGGGATATCTCGGTATTCATCGCTCTTTGAAATGTACTGTGAATGGTGGAGAAACAAGCAAATGGCCTTGTGTTAATTCGTATAGCTAAGTACTGGTGATGGACCTCCTTCAAAGTCATCCTAATTACCTTTTGTTCCCAGAGGAACTCCCAACTTGTCAAAGAGGACATGAAATTGTATAAAAGATCCTTGGGTCCTGATTCTGTCATCTCAGCTCTGCTTAAGCTTCATCAGAGGAAGTTTGAGTCACAAGACTGAGGTCCCAGTTATGCTGGTACGCCCTGAATATGAGATTTGGACATTGCACTATAACCTATGAAGTATTTCTGAAAGAACTCTTTGCAATTACAAAGCTCACCATCTCTGCTATGAATCTGAACCTAAATGGATTGTATCTATATTGATCTTTTAACCATACTCTGTCTCTATTGTTGTTTAACAAATTTAAGTTTAGTTAATAAGAATTGGCTGTAGCGTGTATTTGGGTAAGATCTGGAATATTCAATAACCTGGGAGGTAATGTGTCCAATCATTTGGGATTGGTAGAACCTTTTCTTTTATATGATGAAATAAGATTTTCAGAAATCATCATATTTGACTTAGGTACCTGAATGGAGACCTGAGGCTGGATCATTTTAAGGGAACTGTGTTGTTTGGACTTCCAGTAAGGTAATAAAAAAGCTGTTTTGTGCTGGCTTGGTAAATCTAAGCATTGGATTATCCAACAGCTTTTTGGGGGTTTGGCTGCCCCATTCTTTGCAGTTCACCCTAATTGAGTGACCAGAGCTTGCGCCCACTGGGACCCTGGTCACAACAACTCATTAGCCCAGGGGTAGGCAACCTATGGCACACGTGCCGAAGGCAGCATGCGAGTTGATTTTCAGTGGCACTCACACTGCCCGGGTCCTGGCCACCGGTCTGGGGGGCTCTGCATTTTAAT